AGGAAGAAACAAGTTAAACTCTCGATCTTTTGGGGGAGAGAGGAGCACTATGTCGGTTGGAGTATGCTCGGAGAGGGAGTGGAGTCGCATTGTATGGCAATTTTGGGCCTAGACAATCGGCAACAACAAGAGGAGAAGGAAGAGGAAAAAGAAAATGGGGAGGAAGAAGAGTTTTTGCTAATTTATGGATTAAGAATTAGCGATGACGTGATTCCATCATTAATCCATCGCTAATTAGTGAAGGATTTAATTGTCCATCGCTAATTCAAATTTTAAACTACCGATTTATTTTTTAAAATTTTTAGAACTCGAAAAAAATAGTAACAAAATACGTGATTTCATCGCTAATCTGTCACTAATTAGCGACAAATTTATCTATTTATTGTCGAATTGAATTTTAAACTACCGTTTTATTTTTTGAAATTTTTAGAAATGGGGGAAAGTAGTGACGAAACCTAAGGGTTTGCTTTGGAAAGCAACAGTTGTTGACCCAACAATGGGAATTAGCGATGAAATTGTTATTCCATTGCTAAATTCCCTCACAAATCCGTCACTATTCTATTGCTAGATTAGGCTTGTATTTTTCTTGCTCTATTTAGCAACGGAGCTCTATCCGTCACCAACATTCCATCACAATTCAGTTTCTAAACTTTGCATTTCATTTTGATCGCTATTTTGTCACAAAACCGTCACTAAATAGCGACGATTTTGCATCTATTGTTAATTTTTGACACTAATCCGTAGTTTAAATATATCCTAGAAATATTTTTATTTTGATCAATAAAAAACTTGTAATTAATTTTTTAGTTTTTAAAAAAATTAATTTATATTATAAGAGTGTTTAATTTTATTTAATGAGTTTATATAAAAAAAGTAAATATTAATTAGAAAAAAATATTTTGAGTAAATAATAAATAAATAAATCAGTATAAAAAAGCAAAAAAAAAAAAAAAGGTTGGGTTGGGTTAACACCAGCCCATCCATATGGGCTTGGAGCCAACTAAACTCATACGGTTGGGCTGGAAGCATAGCCCAGCCATAAAAAAGTATAAGGACCTATTTGTAATACATATTTGATTAAGGAATTGTTTTGAATAAAGTTGTGAATCGAATAATCAAAGGGTTAAAAAAAAAGAGACAAAAGATAACTTTTTTTTTTTTGGAAAAACTACGTCGGTTCAAGTTAAAAAGACTCAAAATAACGTCACTTTGACTTATTATAACCGGACTTAGCTATAGTAAAACATCACTTTGTTTTAAATTATTTACTAGCATAGTATGTGCTTTGCGGCGAATAAGTCTATATAATATATTTTATTATTTTAAATAAAAAAATGTAAGTGTAAAATAAAACTTAATTAACACTGGTTTTAAGAATTTATTGCTATACCTAGGGACATGGAGTGGCCCCAAACGTGCTCAAACCAATCTACTCTGCTATTCCTTACTCCAACTTCCTCCTGCAATCTCCTGGAATTGAAGACTCCATTAGGAGAGAGTTTCCTATTGACAGGATCATCATCATTACTTGAAGGAAAGACAACACCACAAATAGCAGTTTGTATGCTGGGCATTTCATCTGAACTAGCACTAGGCCAATACCAATCTCCATTTGAGATGAAATCACAAAATTTAGCATTGGAAGGAAGGTCTGATTTCCAGCAATCTTAGTCAAAGGACCTAGAGGATGGCAATTATCACAAAAGAAAAGCATTCTTTCCATTCCTAATATTACGCAATCATTTGGGATATTCGTACTCCAAATACTCCTATTCTTCTACAACGACCCTGATTTTAGAAACAAACTCCAGGAATATGAGTATAAAGAAACTGAAGGATATATATTTAATTTATCTGACTATAATCTAGATCTAAAGGCAAGAACACACATGGCCAACACATGCTTGTGTTTGAAGAAAACACAAGTTAAAAACTTGCAACGGTACAACTCAGTTTAGGGAAAAGAAAGAACAACATTGAATAAAATCAATAATTACTAGCATATCAGTGCTGTTAAAGGAAGAATTCACAATTCACAGACATGCGTACAAGTAACTGAGTAACTCTGAACAGTTCCCCATTTCCTGGGTTTTAAGCATATAAATTCTGCTTGCTTAAGTTCTCCTAGCAGTCTCTGTGATGGATGGTGCTTAATGCATATGTTGCATAATAAAATCTATCAATTTTTTTAGTAGGAATATCCTTAAATGGTGCAAATGAATTGCCAAAGTAGGCCATAATCTTTATATCAAGACGTCATTTGTAGTTAACATATCCACAAGCTAGCTAACTAAGAAAGGAGATTGGATAACAAGGAAAATAGGAAGAAGAGAATTCACCATGATGACCTGATGACAGAATTTCTTGTTTGCTGAGGTTGTCATGAACTAATTATTAACATCAAATGACACCAGGAGTTCCCCCAAACACTTCAGTGGGAATTACAATGTATACTCTTCGGGTCGGAAGAGTCCTAGTGAAGTGTTCAAGGGAACTCTAGGGGACACTTGATCTATGCACCATTGCACCTATACTAAATTACTAATCCTTGTTGTTTATATGCTCAGTAATGATTAGCAGCCACGCTACTTATAGGAACTGTTTTATACAGAAGCTAGCTGTACAGAGTAAACCTGGACGCAACAATAGTCTCTATGAATGGCAGATTGTAACCAAAAGTAAGATTCTACTCTTTTCTTTTCTTTGATTACATCTGTCCAGCCTTTCCTTATCAGATTTTAGAGGTGGATAGTATTTAGATTCTAGAAGAATATACATACATTACACTAAAATTTGATCACAACAAAGATTCTATTCTTTTCGCACAAATTTGATAAATAAGTACCCCTTTCAAGTATTTGTAATTCTTGAAGCTCTTATACGTTCAAAAGGACAAAAGATATGCTAAAGATTATTTGAGAAAAATAAAGTTAAAGAAAAATATGAGAGCAACTTAAAATCTGGAAATCTTATGATTTCTCTCAAGCCTAATGAGAGGAAGCTGCATAATTTATGTTGGAAAAATAGAAAAATATTATCTAAAAATCTTGGATGGAAAAAACCCTAAAGCAATTTTAGTAGAATTTTATAGGTGACAATTTTGAAGCACAATCATGTTGTTTTTTTGAGACGATATGCCTTGCACATAGAATTTTATCCGATACAATGAATCAAGAATTTATTGCACGCCATCACGGAGATACAAAAAGTTTAGTCACCTTATCGTATCCTAACAAGTTTGCATTACTTGTAAGACTTGAAACTCAATTATAAATTAGCACCCCTCTTATCCAAAGAAAAAATTAATATAGCTTTTAGTAGGAAACAAAAGCAGTAAAATTGAAAAAAAAATTTCTTTCTAAGCAAATAAAGAAAAAATGATTGCTATTTTTTCACTCTCCACAAGGTAAGAAATTGTTACTGCTATAGTTGTGTTTTTCATCAAATGACAAGAGCCCATGTATATAGTGTAAAAATTATTCGTTAGACAATTGAATTAATTAACAAATTAAATGGGAAAAAAAAAACCGTTGAGAATGAATGCAAAAAGCCATTTGTTAATTGAATAAAAAAATGAAACTAGCCTTTCTTTTAAAAGTACCATTCAATTGTTAATGGAATAAAATGGTATTTTTTGATTGTTGAAACAATACACATTACTGTTTCAAAATAGTAACTTATAATTCTTTTTTTTTTTTTAATATATCTTATTAAAAGCTATTTTATTTAAAAATAACCCAACAATCCCCTACTTATTTTTAATAAAATATTAGCCATATAATTTTGGATAAGTAAACAAATATAATGCATGATAAGGTGTCAATGGTTTGAACCCTTGATTAGTGTTTCAACAACATTTTTCTCAAGCCAATAGTGAACATTGTCTTAAACTAAGGCAAATATTGTATCATATATATTATATTTAGGTACTCTATGGCAATTATCGAGTCGGCACATTAACGGCCTTATGCTTAATCTCAATTTGTATGAGTGTACTACAAAATTAGCCTATTCTTATAGGAAGCGGCCCCACTTCCTCACTCATATACATATGTCTATCAATGATGCTCTCATAAACTAAACATCCCATTTAATAAGAACTATAGACCATATTAAAAGTTTCTTCTAAAGAAACTTAACCTTTTTTCTTTTTTCTTTTTTTTTGTTATGAGATTCATTTACTTGCACCATAGGGATGAAAATAAAATTAATGCATGATAATTAACTACTCTTATGATTTATTTGTCCCTTTGAACTTAGATTTTGAGATCTTAGTCAACTATGTAAGGTGTTCTCATAAGTAGTTTATTCATTTTTGGGCTTAAAACCCATCCTTCTCGATACTATCCAAATCTTTTCTTTGGCCAAAGCTTTTGTAAAAGGATCAGCTAAATTATCTTTTGTGTTGATATAATCAACATTTATGGTATTTTTGTTTACATATGACCTCATAAGTACTTTTTTTCTTCTAATAGATATGGATTTTTCATTATAATATCTATAGCGTATAGTTCCGATAGCAATTGTGCTATCACAATGAATTAAGACAAGTGGTATAGGTTTTTCCCACATAGGAATTTCATAAAAAAGATCACATAATCAACCATTTTCATCACTAGCCGAAGCTAGAGCTATCAATTTTGTCTCCATAGTGGATTTCGTAATTATTGATTGCTTTTTAGATTTTTAACATATTGCTTCTTCACCTAAGGTAAAAACATAGCCGAGTGGTAATTAATTAATTACCAAATAAGATGTTTCAATCAACATCATTATACTCTTCAAGTATGACATGATGAATCACCAAATAAGATAATGACATGATACTTTTGATATAACATATCATAATTTATTGTACCTTTCAAGTATCTCATTAGACGAATTATTGTATTCTAATATTGAGCATTAGGTTTACTAGTAAATCTTGATAGTACCGTGATGTCTCATGTGTTTTGCGGTTTTGTTGAATACCAAAAGAATTGCTGACTTCTATCTCTCCGATGAGGTAGAAGTCTCGAAATTGCAACTTACAAGGATCCATACCCGGTCTTAGCAAGCATACGAAACCTATTATATTTGTAAGTTGTATCCGAATTTCATACTATGACACAATTGTTACCTTTCGGTTAATGTTATCGAGTTCCTGTTGTAGGGATCTCGGCAGGAATGACCTTACTGGACCCATACCACCAACATTTTCCGATAATATGAGCACTATGTAAGTAACTCAAAGTAGACGCGTAGTTTGTTATCTTCAAAAAGGGAGATAAAACTAATGAATTATTGACTATACAGATTTCTATCAATTTGATTTTCTTCTTATTGTGAATATTTATAAGCAGAATTTATTCTAATTTCAAAACCTGTTTATAACCAAATTAGTTTTTCGTTAAGGTATTCCTGTACTTGAAATTTATTCTTGTTGGATGCAGTGATCCGTCGGATAACCGTCTTAATGTATCTATACCCGAAGTTTTTCAAATATTCCTTTTTTGCAGAAATTGTGAGTTTATCTACTTATCTTTCTTCTTTGCTTAGGAGTAAATAGTTCAAATTAGTATCTTCGGAGCATCATTTATATTCTAAATGTTACTTTATTACAAGTCGCTTGAAAATAATTTGTTGATCGGTTTTGTGTCTACTAACATGTGGCAGAACATGTCCTCCACTAAAAGTGCTGGCCTTACACTGTAATAACCGAAAGAAGAAATAAAATGAAATCGGTAACTCCGAGCATGAATTTTTATATTTAAGACTCGCAAACTATAAAATACTGCTAGCTTCTCCTTCGCACACATGAAAAAATGCAATGATTTCGGGAACAATTCACTTTCAAGCATTTTTGGAGAATTGAATATGTTGGATAATGTCACCCCGAGGTAGTATTTTCATAGAGTAAAATAACCTATTCAGTTGTAGTGATCTGCTAAAGCAATCAATGCAACACTCATCATACTCGAGTTTTAAGAGTCCTAGCTTCTCTTATTTTACTCCACACATTAATCAATTTGAGAAATACGTAACTCATTTTATGAGACTGTATCAGTTGTCAATTGATTCCTTTTTTTGGGTAGAAGGTCCTCGTCTAAGGATGTATTTGAAGCTCTTTCCTCCACTTAATGTTGCACAGTCAACAGTATTTAATGTGACTTAGGTTCAACAAATTAGAGATATATTTGCATCATGGCGATTTCCTCCAGATGACTTCTTCGGACCATATGAGCTTCTCAACTTCACCCTATTTGGACCTTATGCCCGGAGTATGCACTCGTTGCTACTTCTTCTTGGTTAAAATGAAATGCTGAATTCTTAGCTAAATGATGTTGAACTAATTGTTATGCCCTTATGTGTACATAACACGAATCTTTGTTTTTTATATGTGAACAAACACAAGTATTTAGGATCATATAAAGAAGTTAGAAAGATGAAATTTCCTAATTTTCTCCAAAATAAAAACTACCAAAAATATCATATTTATGTAAGTTTGTCATTGTGACTAATAAGTATTGGCTTCTGTTAGTACTACCATATTTGGTTGTACCATTTTTGTCAATGTGACTATTTTGTTCATTTGCAGCCTTAACGGTGCAGATGAAAATTGATGGTGTGCAGAGCTTCACTTTCAAAGAAATGGTCTTGGCTACTGACAATTTTAACAGATCAACACAAGTTCAAGGCCTCAAGGGGGTTATGGAAAGGTTTACATAGGCATTTTACTTGACAAAACAATGGTGGCTATAAAGCGTGCTAAAGAGGGATCCTTACAAGGTGAAAAGGAATTTTTGATGGAGATCAATTTGTTGTCGAGGTTACATCATCGAAATCTAGTTTCCTTGGTTGGATATTGTGTTGAAGAAGGAGAGCAGGTAATACTTTTCTTGGGAAGTACTTTCTACTATCCTTTTTTTTTTTGAAAGTCAAATGAGAAGGGAATGTATGGAAGTGTCCCTGGAATGTATCCAGCTAATTATTTTATGAGCAATACTATAGCTCATTTAGAATGTCAATTATGCTTAGGAGTAAATTGCATTTATTTGTTTCAAATTTCTAAGAGGTTTTTTTCCTAACCAAGTTTTTCTTTTTGCTTGTTGCACATTAATCAAGTTTTGTTCTACCATCTTATAAAGTGTTTTGTAAATCCTTTTTTCTAACAATTTAAATGGATTTGATATGATTTAGCATCTATTTTTGCAAAGTGTGACTTGGTTACTTGTGAAATCTGTAAACTTGTGTTCTTTGTTGACGCATAGATGGTAGTATACGAGTTCATTCCGAATGGTACCTTATAGGACTGGCATTCTGGTATGAAAATCACCTAAATTTTACGTTCTTTATCTACTCTATATCTCTCGCGATGTTGGAAAGTAAACTTAATTATGGCTAAGTATGAATGCAGTCATTGCATTCATGAACCTAGTTATGTGTGATGTGTCATATAATGTTTAGTATTCGTGTGTAATAATTAAGGGATGTCTAGTATCTCTATATATAGTTATAAGTGATTTGATGTTATGTAGAGTGGAGTCGGTTAAGTTTCTAATAAACAAAGTGTCTTTTATCAAGTGTTCTTGTGTCTCCTCCCTCTCCAAGTAATTTCCTTCTTGTTATCTTTGTGTGGCGCCTAAAATTTATCCCTAACAAATTGGTATCAAAGCATTGGTTTAGGTTCCTATCTCCAACAAAGTGGTAGCGAAGCATTGGTTGATTATTAGTAAGACTAAGAAAGGTTGAATTAGGCACAAATGGTAGAAGTACACAATTAAAGAATTTTTTCTCCGGGTTTGTTGAAAAGAGAACCAGTTGAGTTGGTATGAGTTAAGAGTTAGACTCCATAAGAAAAGTAAAGAACTGGTGAAGAGTTCTTTTAAAAGCAAGAGTGAGGTCAAGAAGAGAACCTCGTAAGAAGAAATGAAGTGTATTGTGCCTATTGTTGTTTCAAGCACCATTCAAAATGTTTTTGAAGGAATTACTTAAAAAATTGAATTTGCCTCCGGCAAGTTATTTGTGTGAAAATTTTGGGCAAGATCATTCTCCAGAATTTATTGCTAAAGTTGAGTTTGAAGATAGATTGGGAAAACATACCCAATATGGATTCAAGGCATATACCAAGAAAGATGCCGAAAATGAAGCAACTTTGCATGTGATAAGACATTTGAAGTGTGTCTATGACATTATCATAAAGGATGTTAATGAAAGAGAATTATATAAAACAAAGTTTGATTTGAGCCGGATGCAGGATGTATATGAGGATTTGAGGCAAGATTATGATAACATTGTCCAAGAAATGCAAGAACTGAAGAAGAAACTAGAAGAAATGGAATCTGGAGAATCGAGCTCTAATAGAGTAAATTTTAGAGTTCCAAGAAGATTTTTTGCTATTCGAGATTTTCCTCTTGGATGTGGACCAAGTAATTTTTGAAAAGTCATGACCAGTAGATAATTAAGTTTACAGGGGGATGTTAGAAAGTAAACTTAATTATGGCTAAGTATGAATAAATAAGTATGAATGTAGTCATTACATTCATGAACCTAGTTATGTGTGATGTGTCATTAATATAATGTTTAGTATTCCGTGTGTAATAATTAAGGGATGTCTAGTATCTCTAAATATAGTTATAAGTGATTTGATGTTATGTAGAGTAGAGTGAGTTAAGTTTCTAATAAACAAAGTATCTTTTATCAAGTATTCTTGTGTCTCCTCCCTCTCCAAGTAATTTCCTTCTTGTTATCTTTGTGTGGTGTCTGAAATTTATTCCCAACAAATTGATATCAAAGCATTGGTTCAGGTTCCTATCTCCAACACGCGATACTCTCCTAGAGAGCTTATATTAATTTTACAAGTCTTTAGATCGTAGAATCATATGCCATAAAATGCTGGAATGTGTGGTAGGTTCAAAGTTCAGCAGAAGGTGTGGTTTACCTGTTACTGAGGGCTAATATTGGAAGGAGATTTCGTTACACAAATTACTATGAGATCTAGACCATTCTCTCCTGTATTTACAAACACTAGACATTTTTTAATTTTCCCAATTACTATTTGTTTATTACTGTTTGATTTAGAACATTTAACTTTCAATATATTGGAGTCTCAAAATTGATGGCTGCTGCTGTATGCTGCTACAGCGAAGGAAAATCTCAACTTTGGAACAAGGTTAAGCATTGCTTTGGGTGCAGCAAAGGGCATTCTTTACCTCCATACTGAAGCGGACCCTCCAGTATTTCACCGAGATATCAAGGCTAGCAATATTCTTTTACACTCTAAGCTTACTGCTAAAGTTGCTGACTTTGGACTCTCCCTTCTTGCCCCTGTCATGGATGATGAAGGATATCTACCTAATCATGTATCTTCAGTAGTGAAGGGAACTCCAGTGAGTTTCACTCCATTACGTGCTCATAAATTGATTATGTGCAAAAGTTTTTTAAAATGATTTCAAAAGGTTAACTTGTCTACATGGCCAAAGAATTTAAACTTAAACAGTGAAGATGGAATCAAATATTTCTAATTTGGATTCTCTTCCAGGAGAGATTACTAGTAACTCTTCTTGTTTTGTATTGAATATGCAGGGATACCATGATCTAGAATATTTTTTGACACACAAGTTGACAGACAAGAGTGATGTCTATAGCCTTGGAGTTGTATTACTAGAGCTATCGACAGGAATGCAGCCAATATCACGCGGCAGAGACATATATAGTTCGTGGGGTATATACGATACGCATTGTTCTTTCCGAAGCTTTGAGTTTTCTTCTACTTACACTACATTCAAATATTGATCTAGTAACTTCTTATTTAACACTAAAGGATAGAAAAAAATTTGATGTCAGGTAAATATTGCTTGTGAGTCTGGCATGATGTTCTCTATCATAGACAGCAGAATGGGTTCCTATCCATCTGAATGCATCGAGAGATTTGTAGCCTTGGCACTAAGGTGTTGCCATACCAAGCAAGAGAAACGGCCATCAATGCTGGAAGTGGTTAGGAAACTAGAAAACATACTCAGAATCTTGCCAGAAACGGATACTACTGATATAGAATCTGCTTCCACATATTCCGAGAAGACCGCACCTGTATTTTCTGGCATGTTAGCATCTTCATCCTCATTCTACGCAAGCAGGGATGCATCCAAGTCGTCCACTTTTTTGGGAAGCAATCTTAGCAGTGGCGTCATCCCCTCTTACCGCCTCGTTGATATCAAAACTAAAAAACTCTGTGTGCTTATTAATCTCCCCCACCCCACCCCCACAAATTGTGCAGTTTAGTGAGATGTGTAAAGTGGGTTTGATTCCTAAATGCCGTATTTTAATTAATAGTGAGAAATATGTTTACAAAGTGAAGAATTATTTCACAATAAGAAGATTAGATCTCACTGATGGAAATCTGTACAATCAATAATTAAGATGTGGTCTAATCTGGCCAGGTGTGAGCTGCAGCTATTTGGGTTAGTCCTCTTATTGGCTTTTTGAAATGGAATGTAAATGGATCTTCATTGGATTAATAATACGTTCCAATTTCACAATCAAGAACTAGTGATGAATTGACAAGTTTCTATGGTGATTCAAAAGAAAATGTAGTATGTAATTAATGCAAAAACAGTATATGCAAGAATCAAAACCAGTTTAGTAGAATCAAATTGAGTTGGAGTTATAGAATTCAGAGAGAAAACAATAAGCTTTACAGAGGAAATCAGAGGAGAAACCAGAGAAGATTGAATGTCAAAACAGAATGGCTTTTCTTGTTTCTTGCTCTTTGATTTATACTAACTGTTTTCCTAACAACTTTTTAACTGAATTACAGATGGCTAACTAACTTCCACATAGGATTGATTAAATGGCTAACTACTCCCCACGTGCGATCACTTAAAGCTTTCCACGTGCAAGTCTTTATATTTTCCCAGCAACCTCTAAGCAATCTTCAAGTCATTTCCCAGTATTTTCCCAGCAGTCAGGCAATCTTCAAACTCCCCAAAAGTGTGCATAACAATACCTCCCTTCTTAAGGGACCTTGACCTTAAGGTCAAATTCAGGGAAACGTCTAGCCACTTAAGATGCATATTCCTATGTAGCTTCAGCTGCAAATCCATTAGACCAATGAATTAACAACTTTGTTTCGGCTCTATTACCTCTCTTAACCAATTTCTTGTCTAGAATAGCCACAAGTTGAATATCCTCATCCACCGTCAAAGGTAGTTGTGGTTGCACTAGCACATTCCCATAAGCAGGTTTAAGCGAAGAAACATGGAATGTAAGATGGATTAAGGACCTTAGAGGAAGTTGCAATGTATAAGCCACTTCTCCCACTTTTTCCACAATCTGAAAAAGGGCCATAATACTTAGGAGCTAACTTATGACTGTTCCTTGAAACCACAGAATATTGCGTAAGCTTGAAGCTTAAGGTAGACCTAATCTCCTATTTGAAACAATCTTTTAGACCTTGTCTTCTTGCACTTTCATACGATGTTGAGCCTTAAGTAGCAGTCCCTTTAACAATGCTACCACATCTTTTTTATCTTGTAAAAGCTGGTTCACAGTAGGATCCTTACAATCATTAGGAAGATAAGGAAGATGAATTAGGGGTACATACCCATACAAAGCCTCAAAAAGAGATTGTTGAATGGCTGAATGGTAAGAAGTGTTGTACCAAAATTCTACCAGACACAACCATTTACCCCAAGTTTTTGGCAGATCAGAACACACGCATCTGAGATAGCTTTGCAAACACCTATTGACCACCTCGGTTTGACCATCAGTTTGAGGATGGTAAGTTATAGACAAATGCAAAGAAACTCCTTGCTATGTGAAAATTTCTTTCCAAAATCTGTTGAGAAAAAAAGAATCCGTCTAAAAAAATAGTGTTCGGTAGACCATACAATTTAAACACATGCTTCATGAATGCTTGAGCTACTGTGTAGGCTGTGAATGGATGAGCTGAAGCTATAAAGTGTGCATATTTGATCCACCTATCAACCACTACAAATACCACTGATTTTCCATAAGAAGTAGGCAATCCCTCAATGAAATCCATTAAGATATCAGTAAAAATAACTGTAGGTAAAGGCAATGGGGTAAATAAACCAGGGTAGGCTACATTCTCATATTTGCACTCTTGACAAGTTTTACATTGTCTTACATATTCCCTTACTTCCTTTCATAAACCTTTCCAATAAAACAATGAAGCTACACTTTTTGACAGTGCCTTTAACTCTAGAATGACCACCTGAATAGGAATCATGACACACTAAAATGAGTTCCCTATGTAACTCAGAATCTCTTCCCACCACCAATTTCCCTTTCCTTTGTAGTTGAGAGTTCTTCCATTCAAACTTAGATTGACTTCCTCTTGCAGTTTGCAACTGTGTTATGAGTGTTTTTAACACAGAATCTTCTTCCCATGACTACTTGATCCTATCCAACAAATCAGTGAATATTAAAGACATTGCCAAGATAGAAAACTGCACCCTTGATAATGCATCTGCCACTTCGATTATCCTTGCCCTTTTTATACATAGTATCATAGTCATACCTCATTAATTTCACTAACCAAGTAAATTGACTTTTAGTGTGCACTGTTTGTTCTAAGAGATGTTTCAAACTTTGATGACCAATCCGAACGATGAAATGTTTATGCATCAAGTATTAGTGCCACTTCTTGACAGCAAAGAGAATGGCAATTAATTTCTTCTCATATACTGATAGAGTTTGATGCTTAGGAGATAAAAGCTTACTAATGAAGGAAATGGGATGTCTTTTCTGTATTAACACTGCTCCAATTCCATTGTCAGATGCATCAGTCTCTATTGTGAACTCTTCTTCCCAATTTAGTAGTATCAGCACTAAAGTTGTGGTCATTGCTAACTTTAATTCTTCAAAGGCTAACTTAGCGACAAGATTCCATCCAAAAGCTTCCTTCTTGACCAAGTCTGTTAGTTCCTTGGCAATTCTTCTATACCTCTTCACAAACATTCTGTAATATCCAATGAGACCTAAGAAACCTCTCAACTGTTTGAGATTTTTAGGTCTAGGCCACTATCGAACCACTTTAATTTTGCTAGGATCAGTTTTCATCCCTTGTTCAGAAATGTAATGTCCTAAGTATTTCACCTTTGGAGTGCCAAAGGTGCATTTGGATTCTTTGGCTAATAAGGAGTTTTCTTGTAAAACGCTCAATACAATTTTAAAATGTTGTTGATACCCATGAATGGTTTTGATATATATTAAGATGCAATCAAAGAAAACTAGAATGAATTTCCTAAGATATGGTCTGAAAATATCATTCATGAGTGCTTGAAAAGTACTAGGAGCATTAGTTAAACCAAAAGGCATAACCAAATATTCATAATGCCCACTGTGGGTATGAAATGCTGTTTTTAGAATATTAGTTGTGTTCATCCTAATTTAGTGGTAACCAGCTCTAAGATCAAGTTTTGAAAAAACCACAGAACCATGTAATTCATCTAGGAGTTCTTCAATGATGGGAATTGGAAAGTGATCCTTGACATTCAAATTTTTAAGCTTCATATAATCCACACATAACCTCCAAAAATTGTCCTTCTTTTTGAACAACACCACAGGAGAAGAGAAAGGACTTATACTGGTTCTGATTATCCCAGCCTCTAATATTTCCTGAACCTGCTTCTCTATTTCATCCTTTTGAACAGCATGATACCTGTAAGGTTTGGTATTTACTAGTTTAGCTCCTTCCTTCAGCACTATTCTATGATCATTTAACCTATGGGGTGGTAACCCTTTAGGCTCTTCAAATACTCTTTTGAATGTCTCAAATATTGCCACCAATACTTTTGAAACCTTGTTATTTAATTCCAACACAAAAACCTCTTTATCCCACCCTTCATTACGCAACTAATGAATCTGTATCCAGCTTAATTGTTGCTATTTACAAATTGCCATATCAACCTCTACTTCTTCTTGACTTTTTATTAACTTGGCACTTTTCCCCTCTTAATGTGAATGATTCCCCATCTACCACAAACCTCATACACATATCTTCAAAATTTCAAGTAATGCCCAAAATCATTTCGTACACTTCCAGAGGCATCACCAATACTGTGGTTTCAAACCCCTTTCCCTACATTTCCATTGGAGCTTCCTGCAAACATCCTCACATACAATGTCTCCTCTATCTGCCATCTTCACTATTATAAGTGATATCTTAATTAATTCACACCTATTTTTTTTTGGCAGATCCCAAATCCATAAAATTGTGTGTACTCCAGTTTCTACAAGTATAGTCATTTTCATTCCTCCCAAGTTACCTTGCATTCTCATTGTTTGATAATGTTCACCCACACAACATAAGTGGATATCTTATACAACTCAAAATTTAAGTTTTTAGTGTTACCAAGTTGCTCTGCATCCTCATTAGCAAACTCAACTTCATTCCCATTATCATCACTATCTTTAATTTCCAACATAAACAGTTGCTTCCCTTTGCATCTATGCCTAGTACATATTTTTCATCCCAATAATAACATAGTCCCTTCAACCTGCTCTCATCCAACTCCTTATTGCTTAGTAATCTCTTTGTTTTGAACATTGAATTTCCATTCTGGAATTGACTTGGTAGAGCCAACAAACTTTTTTGGTTAGTTATTTATGGTTTTTTGTGAGGTTATGGATTTTTTGGCTAAACATTGTTGTTATTTATAGGAATTGGGTTGTAGTTAAACTTGTGGTTGTTTTGGTAGGTGTTTTGATTAGGTCTTGAGTTGAAGGGAGTAATGAATTTACGAGGAAATTTGTTATTTTGGAAGTGATTTTTTGGATTGCTTTCTTGTAATTTAGCTAAAGAAACGGCTTCCTTTACGTTTTTTGGCCTCATGACTCTTATTGAGATTTGTAATTCAAGTCTCAATCCTCTTATAAAACAGCTAATGATGTACTCCTCTAGTAACACTAACTTGTTGAGCACTAATATGAACCTTTTTAGGTTAGTTTGCACATCATTCTCTTGTTTTAATCCCATCAATTCAGCCATCGGATCACTGAACATCATGTTCCCAAACCTTATACTCATAGCCTCAATATAATCACTCCATTTGATTAGATTATGTACCCCATACATATGAACGTAAACCTGATGACATTCTAATGCCTCATCCTCCAAATGAATTGCTGCTATAGTCACCTTGACTTCCTCAGGTGTTCTGTCATACATAAAGAATTTTTCACACCTAAACACCTACCCTTCAAAGTCTTCTCCAACAAACTTAAGAAATTCTACTCTAGATACCATATTATTAGTC